GTGTACGTTAAAAATGTTGGATTCATATGACAACCCTAGAGGTGAATAGGGTTCACCTATATGGTTTCAACAATATAATTATTAACTTTTTTTTTTTTTTTTTTTAATAACAATAAAACTTATAACATGCCATAAAACTTAAAAATAATTTAGAATTTAAATAGGAATTAATAGGGACTACTAAAACGTGAATCGAAACGTGAACCACGAAAAATTATATTTATTTATTTTTAAATTTATCGTAAAAAATTATATATATATATATATATATAACATATTGAAATATAATAATATAATAAAAAAATGTTAATGGGTAACATTAATTGAAAAGTTTTACAAATCTAATTGAAATCATTATAAATATTTGAAAAGTTTTACAAATCTAATTGAAATCATTATAAATATAATTCAAATGATTCTTTAATTCAAATAATTTTCTTTTTCAAAACTAGTTTTCTAAATGAAATCATTATAATTTCTTTTCATTTAAAAGTAACGACTAGTTTAGATAAATGTAAATGAAATTATTATAATTTCTTTCCATTTAAAAGTATCATCGATGTAAATGAAATCATTATAATTTCTTTCTATTTAAAAATAACCGAAAACTTTTATAAATGTCATTGAAAATTCCACCATTTGTTACTCTACCAAATTTATAAATGTCATACTTCGATTGGTCTATGATGTCAATTTTGCCGCTGGTCCATGATGTTAATTTTGTCACCACATCATCAGGTCAGGTATCTTGTTTTGAATTTGATTGGTTCATGATGTCAATTTTTCCGCCACATCATCACGTCGGATATCTTGTTTTGACTAAAATTTCTTCGTTTTATCTCTAATTTGAGTGAACTAAAAAAAGGAGTTGAAATCGTTATTCCCAACATTACACTATGGATAAAATAGGGAGAATGGTTAATAATTAAAGGTAGGTTTGTTATCATCAAAACATCAATTAATTAATTTGAGATTAAGGCGAAAAAGCCAACATAAAATACCCAACTTGTCTCCCAACTTTTCTTTACGTGTAGGTTAATAACACCCAACTTGTCTTTACGTGTAGGTTAATAATACCCAACTTGTCTTTACGTGTAGGTTAATAACACCCAACTTGTCTTTACTCCCCTTCAAGTTGGGGAGTGTATCAAGTTGTAGAGAGTTGGAGAGTGTAGGTCAATAACACCCAATTTGTCTTTCACAAAATCAAATTGTTGTCTCTGGCAAGTTAACTCTAAACAAGTATTTGCTGATGATCTGGAAACACTGGTTTACCTTTTAGACTTTCTATAAATAAATGAATTTCACACGAAGATGCAAAACTCAAACACTAGTTTGCTTTTTGAGACATCTAACAAATAATTGAATTTACCCTTAAAGATGCAAAACCCAAATAATTGAATTTACCCTTAAGATGCAAAACCTAGATGATCTTAACACATTGGTTTGCCTTTTAGACTTTCAAGAAATTATTGAATTTCCCAGAAAGATGCAAAATGCGATGATGTGAACACATTGGTTTGCTTTTTAGACTTCCAAGAAATAATATAGGAAGATACAAAACCCCATAATAGATTGCAAAGATTTACTATAGGATTGGTAATTTGTCCCATTTAATTTGATTGGAACAAGTGATTTATTCTAGGTTGAGATTAAGAGGCTACCTATTGGTGACAAAATCTGGAAAGCTCACCAAAAATATCTTGATAATGAATATGTTCTTCATTTTATTGTTGAGAGTAAAAATATTGATGATTTGCCATGCTCAATCTGAGACAATAGCTATAAAGACCAGAAATTAAAACTTTTGAGAGGTGGGCGGGAAAGCTCACCAAAAACATCTTGATAATGAATATGTTCTTGATTTTATTGTTGAGAAGAAAAATATTGATGATTTGTGATGCTCAATCCTAGACAATGGCTATAGAGACCAGAAATTAAAACTTTTGAGAGGTGGGCTTAAAAGGAACATATTTCTGGTGGAAGGTGATCCCAATTCATCTATCGTCCTCTGTTCTAATCTCTGTCACTTTTCTTTTGTTCTTCCTCCTCTTCGATACCATGTTAAGAATGAGAATCTCTGATACCATTTAAAAATGAGAAGTCATATTGGAAACTCTGATACCATTTAAGAATGAGAAACAGAAGTGAATATATATATATATACCAAATCCTAAAAGTAAGGAAGAATCTTAACTAGTTACTACTCTATAAAATATATTTCAATGGGATGTAACGCGAATCTTGTAATTCAAGAAATTCTTCCTCTTTACATACTCTTATGAGATGAAATCAACCTCTTTATAAAGATTCTTAAGGAACTATCTAGAGATAGCTACCGAATCGAGCTCACAAAATCAAGTTTTAGGCTATCAAAGTAAGAGTTGCACACACGTGTTCTTCATTTATATGTAGAAGACAATAACGGAGTTATCCATTCTATTGAATGAACTACTTTCTTTTTTCTTGAACAACCTTTTATTTTAACTTAAGTTGATCATCTTTTGATCGATTCTTATAGATTTATTGATAGTTGTGAAATCATAGTTCATTAAAGGGACATTCACAAGAATATATGAGGAATTTTAAGCATTTTAAGGACTTAAACTAGGCTCCAGGGCATGAAAGAATATGCAAGTAGCCATACCCGATTTTTCTCAAGCAATACATGTAGGGAATAACCCTAAAAAGTTAAAGCTTGACATTGTAACACTTGAGCCCCACGAGAAATTAAATACATGACTTTTTCTTATAAGTCAAACTTCCCCAATTTTATTCGGGATCTTAGATATCTTATTTCAAGATGAGGTAGGAAAAACAAATGATTAAAAAAAAAAAAACTAACAGGCTTAAGAAAAATATAAAAGAAAAATATAAAAGAAAATAGTAAAAATTTTGGAAAATCAGTCAAAGTCAACCAGTAATTAGAGGTTGGTAAGCACCTACTCACAATTGCATCAAAAGAGAGAGAAAAAAAAAAAAAAAAAAAAAAAAAAAAAAAAAAAAAAAAAAAAAAAAAAAAAAA